CACTAGTCACCCCCTCACTCTAGTGACAGAGTGAGGGAGTGACAGGTGACAGAGTGAGTGACTAGTGACAGAGTGAGGGAGGGGGTGACTGTCACTAGTCACCCCATCCCTCTGTCACTAGTCACTCCCTCCTAACTCTGTCACTGTGTCACCTGCTCCCCCACTCTGTCACTAGTCACCCCCTCCCTCACTCTGTCACTAATCACCCCCTCTGTCCTTAGTGACAGAGTGAGAGAGGGGGTGACTAGTGACAGAGTGAGGAAGGGGGTGACATAGTGAGGGAGGGGGTGACTAGTGACATAGTGATAGAGGGGGTGACTAGTGACAGAGTGAGGGAGGGGGTGACACAGTGACAGAGTTAGGGAGGGAGTGACTAGTGACAGAGAGAGGGATGGAGTGACTAGTGACAGTCACCCCCTCTCTCACTCTGTCACTAGTCACACCCTCTCTCACTCTGTCATTAGTCACCCCCTCTCTCACTCTGTCACCAGTCACCCCTTCCTTCCTTCACAATGACAGAGTTAGGGAGGGAGTGACTAGTGACAGAGAGAGGGATGGGGTGACTAGTGACAGAGAGAAGGATGGGGTGACTAGTGAGAGAGGGGGTGATTAGTGACAGAGTGAGGGAGGGGGTGACTAGTGACAGAGGGAGGGGGTAAGTGACAGAGGGAGGGGGTAACACAGTGACAGAGTAATGGGGTGACTAGTGACAGAGTGAGGGAGCGGGTGACACAGTGACAGAGTTAGGGAGGGAGTAACTAGTGACAGAGAGAGGGATGGGGTCACTAGTGACAGTCACCCCCCCTCACTCTGTCACCAGTCATGCCCTCACTCTGTCACTAGTCTCCCCCTCTCCTTCCCTCTGTCACTAGTCACCCACTCCCTCACTCTGTCACCAGTCACCCCCACTCAGTGTGTCTCCCCCTCACTCTGCCACCACTCAACCCCTCCCTCCCTCACTCTGCCACCAGGTACCCCCTCACTCTGCCACCTGTCACAACCTCCCACACTCTTCCACCTGTCACCTTCTCCCTCACACACTCTGTCACCTGTCACATATGCATTCACACAGACACTATATACAAAAAAGCACATGTAGTCATCCAGACATGCACAAGTGCATTCACACAGACTCAAATACAAACATGCATTGATACACAGGTCTTCACAATACACACATCCAAAGGAATGCCGTATTATGAATTATATTTAACATTTATTAAAATGCACATATATTTGGCCTTCAAAGGGCCTGGGATCTAATTTTGCCCGGGGGCCCCAAAGGCTCTCAGTCCGCCCCTGGACAAAGGTAAACGCTAAGGGAAATAAAGTGACATGTCTCAAGGGAAGAAGCATACTACTAAAGATGAAAAGCTTAATTTTATGGCCAGAAAGCATTGCCTTCGAGCTTGACTGTGCAAGCTGCATCACAAGATGGCAGGGGCATGTCAGAAGACCATGCACAGAGCCTAGAATATCAACTCACCAACATGAAATCTAAAGTAATGGACATTGAAGATAAGAGCAAGTAGAAACATTCTGCGTTTGAGAGGAATCCCTGAATCCATAAGCCAGGTGGACTTAGCGACATTTGTCAACTGTTTTCTGTACCCCTTTGGTACCAAAACCCTGCTTCGGTACTTCTGTATATACATTGGATTTTAGTTCCCTTTTATTTTTTATGGGCAAATGTAAATATTAATAATAATTTTAGAATGAAATGTTGTATTTGTTAAACTGTGTACTTTGTCTTTAAGAGATATTGCAAAAAGACAAGGTGTTAGAAATGGAACCTATTGTTTTTCATAACTGTTTCTTTAAGCAATAACCTCAGTGCATATTATGTTTATGCCATTTTGTCCCAGATGAATTACAATAACAATAATGCATAAACAAGCTTCAAGGCTATGCTACGACTCTTTCAGTACACAATATACTGTGGTAACCTTAAGTAGATAAGGATGTCCAGACCTTAAGATGCCATCTTTCCATGACGTATGCACCCTTTAGTTATGGCCTTGTATTTTTGCCAAGGTAAGGGAGGTTACTTTTTCATATATGAACTACGGTAACCCTAAAATGGAGACACCTAAGGTATAAATAGGTGTACTTTCAAATGTTAAGACACAGAGGAGAGACTTGGAGACAGACGCTGCTCCATCCTAAAATGACAGAGAGGCTGACATGATGACATGTTCAGAAGGGTATGTTAACCTATTAATGATATTTGCAAGCATTTAGTTTAATCTTATAAACCCTGCTATATGGATTTTATATGTCTATATTTATATTTGTATATAATAAATATCTAAAAAGACAAAACTTTATTGCTTCCAAGACAATCCTTATTTTATATTGTATTCTCAATTATTTATATATGTTAAATAGAGGATCTCTTACACTAACTATATACAATTATGGCTAAGATATCTGTATGGTTAGCCCTACTAAGTTCTATGCTTTAAGACATTATACTGGTAAATAAGGGAACCAGCCACGGTTACATATTGTTTTAGGGTTTGCATCTTAATTTGCAAACCTGCACCACAGTCCCATGTGGGTCCCCCACCTACCACTTCCTCCCCGGAAAGCTATCATGAATTAGAAAAATAATTTTGTTTTTGACAAGAAAGCGAGAATACAGATACAAAGGAAGCACATGGGTAAGCTGGACTTGCTGGAGATCCTTTGGATCAAATCCACATGATGTCATGCAAAACATTAGAAAGCACATAGGATCACTGACAACAAGCAGGCTTATTCTCATATTCAAAACGAAAACAATATGAAAATATATTCCCACTATGTCTGAGGGCTTAACACACCCCACAGACGCAGTTAAGAGTATGAAAGCAGACATATTGGGTCTTCAAGAAACTCACTTCACTAAAAACAAAGTACCTGGCTTTGGCTCTAAGGATTACTTCATTCAATATTACACATCTAAGACCAGAGGAATTTCCTTATTGTTCCATAGATCATTGACATTTGAAGTACTACGAATGCTGTCAGATAGTCAAGGTAGATACCAGATTCTAATATTAGATACCCAATTCTAATAACCTGGCCTATACACTTGTGAACATATATGTGACGAGAACAATCTCGCCACTGTGCATTGGAGGAGCCTGGTTGTCCGCCTGCTGCCTTTAGACTATGGCCCCATGTTGAAACGCTTGATTTTCCCCTGCGGAGACACGAAAGCCAGGTCATTCGGTGCTGGCCCTGTTTGAGCGGTGATACCCCAGATAGCTATGCCATGGAGCCCATTCGTATAATGAAAGACTATGGGAAAGACTTTGGCTCCGTGGCAATTGAACTGTATGTGTGTGCTCTGAGCGCCATTCAGTAATAATGTGCGCTCAGATCTGAGCTATCTGGGGATATGTTGAATGTACCTGTTTTGTGCAATGGCCTCACAGTTATATGTTTTTGTGTGTTTTATTGTCTTTTGCTGCCATGTGTTCAATGGAGTTTTGCCTATGTCCTTGGAGATAATTGGATTACTTCCCAATTATCTCCAGGATAGAAGACTCTGTGGAACTGGGTTTGGGCAGAAAAGCCATGCTTCCTTTGGTCACAAAGGACTACAATCTATCTTTTGAACCACTGGACCAATTTGGATGATTTTGACATATGTTTGTATTTGGAGTATGCTGATTCTGTAAGTTTTATGTGAATATGATGCATACTTTTCAAGTTATGAATAATGTGAAAAATTTTTTATTTCTCTGCTTGTGATAATTACATTACCCATTGTGTAAGGTAATTGTATCACAGGCAGAGGGGAGGATTTTGTGTGGGAGTGTCTGAGTGTATTGTATGTGTTTATTGGTTGTGTTCCAAAACCCTGTGGGTGGTACTAATGTGTATATAAAAACAATAAACCCACAGCTCTGTCTGTTCACTGCTTGACCCTCAACACGGAGCTTTGTCTCGTTCTTGGGGGGGATTTATTGTATGCTGTTCCAATTTGACTGCTAAGAGTGTAAACCTATTTGTATGGTTTTTCCTATTCAGCTGTTTACAGCATTCGTATGGTTTCCTGTTCGGCGGATTGGTGTTCTGCAGTAGCTGTGCCTCTGGAAGGGGAAGATCTACTAAACGGCGGTTTAACCCTTTTATGCCTGGGGGTGCCGTTACAATATATACACCCAATGAACATCAAAGGAAGTTTATGCATAAACTACTAACTAAACTAAACGCTAATACATAAATTGATGACCATAAGCTGCAAGGACATGAACCATATTATGGATCCTAAATTAGACACAACTACATCACCAGATTACCCTAGGTATAAAACACATATCTCAATGTAAGGTATTAAAGTTATTTATTGAATTCTGCTTATACAATGTTTGGTGCAGATTGCACCCTTTGAAACTGTGTTACTCATACTATTCTGAGGTACACCAAACATTTTCCAGAATAGACCTCATGTTAAGATCAGGACTCTCTGTGAAATATGTTGCCCAATGCTCCATTGGGGACGCAGTATGGTCAGATCATGCTCCAACACTGACGCTTAATGACCAATTTGACTTTAGAGGCAGCACTCCCCGGCGCCTCAAGGACTCCCTCTTGGAGAGCAATTCCTTCAAAGAAAACAATTATGATGTCTCTGTGGCAGGCACATAAAATCGGTGATCAGTCAAAACTCACACTTCAAACAACAATCACAAGACAAACAGATTCATTTATTAGGAGATCTGTGAGATGCCACTAGAACTCACTTCCTCCACCCATCAGAACACATACAAAAGAAAATAGACCCCTTTACTAAATACATAAACGGTATAAACATAGTAAAGACAATCTATACACTCCAAATGGTAAAGATAAGAGGGTATAAACAAGGTTAAAAGAGCAGGGAAATGCCCTGGCAATAATGCTCCACCATAAACAAACAATGTAGAATCCCTTATATCCTCACACACAAAGGCGCTAAAACACTAAACCCCCAAGACATCAATGACGAATTGGCTAAGTACTATATAACATTTTACAATTTAAAAAATGACTGTACACTTCACCAACCGACAATGTCTGAAATGAACAAATTTCTAGAGCGATTCCAACTACCCAGTATTACCCAAACTCAAATAGATGACCTCCAAATCCTGATCACAGAGCAAGAAATACCAATGGTGATAAAGAAAACTTGCTGCTAGGGAAATCACTGGGCCCAGAAGGGTTCCCAAATTCTTATTATAAGATATTTTCTTCAATGCTGGCATTCCAAATGGTAACCACATTCAAATATGTAAAAAAGCAAGAAAGCATGCCCACGGAGATGCTGATGGCACATGTTGCAAAACTCCCCAGACCTGGTAAACCTCCAAATACAAGTAAAAATTATATACTGAAATCACTATTTAATAGGGATTTTAAAATAATGATTTTCAACAACAGGCTCTACAGTACATGCTCCTACTACAAATTAAATATCACGAAAACACAAGCCATGGGGCTAAATGTGATGCACCTAGCATGCAGACCCTAAAACAGTCTCTGCTGATTTTGAGCCCAGCCATTTACTTTAAGGATACATAGAGGCTACTGAACACATTTGTTTGCAGTGGGAAGTGCTATATAGCCCATTCAGATAAGGTCTAAAAGCCTACTATCACACAGCTCTGCTCAATAATTTAATAAACACACAAGCTTGAATGATCCCGCCACACTGCGTACACAATGAATCAGCTTGGACACAAGGGCACCTCATTAACTCTTTGGCGTGGTTCCCTAAGGTACTTAGACCACAAAGTCACATAAACCTTACCAACAACAACTTTAACACTTACATTATGGGATAAACACAGACATGGGTTTGTCTTACACAGCCCAATTTCATTAGCTACACCTATCGTAGCGCTCTCCTTAGT